AATAATTGTTGTTCATTTGAAATTTATATCAATTCAATTAATTGATTTGTATTGAACAAATAAAAACGAAATAGTTACGTGCGCGAATTATATGTTGAAAAAAATTTTTAATATTTTTTATTATTTATAGAATTTTCAAATATGTATATATATATATATATATATATATATATTGGAATAATAAGAATGAATTGCCTTTTTTTCTCGTCGTTTGATCGAATTTCAGATATCGTTTGCAACCCCATGTTTCATTCGTATCCTTCGGGATGGTAAATACGTTGAAATTCGTTATAGTATGAAAAACGTATAGTACATTGTAAAAATCCACCCATTCCAATGTTTAACTTTTGCGTCAGAGTTATCGGAAAATGTCTATATATATATATATATATATATATATATATATATATATGTATATGTATATATGTATACGTGTATATATTATAGAGATATTCAATTTCGAAATCAAATCGACAGATTTCCGTAGGTGCACGGAAATGCTGCTAAGCTTTATTTCCATCTTTCGATTCGACGGCCTCTATGGTCGTTTTTTACGATACTCGTTTCTCTCTTATTTCTAATGGATGAACCGAGTTTCAACGAGTAGACACGACTATGAAATAAGCTCGTCTTTTAATGTTTATTTCGAGAAAAAGAGAAAAATGAAGAAATAGAGAGAACAGAGACAGAGACAGAGACAGAGAGAGAGAGAGAGAGAGAGAAAGAGAGAGAGAGAGATAAAGAGAGAGGATAGAACACATACATAAGTATGTATTTATGTATAGAGATTTATTATTAAACTATAGCGTAATTAAAAGATAAGTGATTTTCTTTGAAACTGATTATCAAAGAGACGGACTCGAAAGTAGAGAGAAAATAAATAAATAAATAAATAAATAAATAAATAAATAAGAAAAAATAAAAAGAAGAAATGGAAGACACAAAAAGGGAGAAAGAGAGAGAGAGAGAGAGGGAGAGGGGTAGAGAGAGGGGGGAGAGAGAGAGAGAGAGAGCACATATTTATTGTGTTAATCAATAAATAATGTAAAGGAATTTTCAATGAAAGATATTACTGTGTTATTTATTTAGATGTAAAATATTAAAAATTTTTAATAAAAGATATATTGGATATAACATTTTTTTTCCTCTCTCTCTCTCTCTCTCTCTCTCTCTCTTTTTTCTCTCTTTTTTTTTTTCTCTCTTTCTCTATGTATATATTTATATATAATATAACATATATTCTCAATAAAAGAATACTACAGCGTTATTTATTCAGATATGATATATCAAACATTGTTTAATAAAAAAAAAACTATATAGTTGCTTATTTATTTACATATAAGATATCAAATATTTTCGATACGAAAAATATTATAGCTATAGTTTCGACAATATAGATGTATATTCTATAATCAGCCAATTCAATATATACATATATAGATTTATATATTAAATCATGGATAATGTAATTAAAAGATGTCGGTTTTCTTTGTTAGAATGGCGATCGACGAAAGCTACTCGAAGGTGAATTCGTGCGATTAGCCGACGAGTGCGGAACTTCGCACAGGAATTGGGTCGTACAAACATTTAATCTCCTTTTCCTTCTCGACGTGTTCGACCGTAATCCGATACGACCGTGCGTTTATTTGGAGCTTGACGAGTTCTCCAAGAGAGAAAAGAGAAAGAAAAAGATAGAAAAAGAAAAAGATAGATGGATAGATAGAGAGAGAGAAAGAGAGAGAGAGAGAGAGAAAGAGTGGGAGAACACCAAGAGAAATCTTTTCGGCCAATTCGAATCCACGGTCCAACAAAGATGGTGTCACTGTCACGATAATTCCTTTTACCTTTCTCTTTTCCTCATCTCTTTCTCTTCTTCTTTACCTTATGGTGTAATTAACTCCTGTCAGATGCACGTGCGTTCCAAAGCAACTCAGGAATAGAAAGTTCCAGTAGAGAAGCGAGGGAAAGAGAAGAGAAGAGGAGAGAAGAGGAGAGAAGAGGAGAGAAGAGGAGAGAAGAGGAGAGAAGAGAAGAGAAGAGGAGAGAAGAGAAGAGAAGAGGAGAGAAAGGTGGTGAAGGGAAAGGGAGTGAAGGATGGTGAAGCGAAGAGAAAAGCCGAGAGGTGAAGAGAGAAGTGAGAAGAGAATGAATAGAAGAGGGATAGCTAGAGATAGGTAGATAGTTATGAGGGGAGGGAGGAGGAAGGATGGTTGCAAGCTTAAACCGATTTCTTTGTTATGCCCATTGAAACACATCTCGCGATCGATCTTAAAAAGATTCTTTCGTTTCGAAACGATCTCACGCGTGAAACTAACAAAATTTTATCTCATCCTTTTGCCACATTGTTCATCCATCGAAACAAGTTTCTCAGGGTTTGTAGTTTTGCGATCTTAAAAAAAAAAAAAAAAAAAAAAGAAAATAAGGAGAGAAAAAGAAGATAACGAAACAAACAAGAATGAGTTCTGGAAGAGAGCGATTGATTTTTTCATATCAGTTAAGAACTTTCCAACCTATATATATATATATATTTTCTATCCATATATATATATATATTCCAACCTATATTTATATATATATATATATTCTATCCATATATATATATATTCCAACCTATATATATATATATATATATTATATATATTTATTATAAAAATAAATATAATATTCACATCTAAAACGATTAAATCGTTAAGTCAATCATTGGAAAATTATTAAATTACTGCGATCCGTACTATCGATCTAGGAACTTTTGACCTACATTCTAGGTACGTATATATATATATATATATATATATATATATATATATATATATATATCTAAATATTATAATACATAGCATTAGTACATATATATATATTATTATTATTATAGTATTATTATATATATATATATAGGAAACAGTCATTAAAAAATCATTTGCTATCATTGAAATTATATTTTCCCGAGCAAGATCAATAATACGTTCGATTATTAATCACCAACAAGTTGACTTATCCTACGTAAGAGATGTTGGAAAGCGGAAATCAATCCCACACATCTTTCCTGTCAAGTGGTAATGGTCAACATAGGAGGATCAAAGCTACTCACGAGGCAAGGCCCGTACATGGCACGTACATACACTACTGACGCAGGAAGATACATATACGTGTATATATGTATATATATATATATATATATATATATATATACACGTTCACAGGAGAGCTTAAAGGACAAAGGAAATGCAATTCTCTCATGCAATTTCCCTCGCGGCGACGGTGGCGGTGGCGGCGGCGGCGACGGCGATGGTGACGGTGACGACGATGGCGGCAAGGTGGGCGGAGGGTGGGAAGGGGGTGGCCGTAGGGGTGACCAGGGCTCGAACGAAGCACATTGAAATTGACCGCTTCAAAGAGATACCAAAGCCAATGAATGAACGACCACGGGGACGAACTTATTTCCATGGGAGAAAGGTTTCAAATAAGTAAAGAGAAAAAAGAGAGAGAGAGAGAGAGAGAGAGAGAGAGAGAGGCAGAGACAGAGAGACAGGGAAAAAGTTTAACGCGCATTTATCATGGTTTAACTTTTGAAACTTCACGAACAATCGTAATGCGCTATCGAATGAACAACAACAACACAACAACAACAACAACAACACAACAACAACAACACAACAATGACGACGAGAAGAATAATTCTTATACAATACGTTCGTTCACTTTCTTTCTTTTTGTTCATTTAACTTCGACTATAAATTTTATTAAATGGATTATTTATCAAGATACTCTCTATATCTTTTTTTTTCTCCTTTTTTTTTCTCCTCTTTATTTTTGCCTTTTTCTTTTTTTTTTTTTCGTATCTCTCAATCTCTATTTCTCTTTGATAATTTTATTTTCTTTTTTTTTTCTACGCAATTTCCTCAACAATTTTACTCTGATATGCGATTATTGTTGACAATTTTTTTATTATGTCTTTCTCTCTTTCTCTCTCTCTCTCTTATTCTCAATTTCTTTCTATCTTCAGATAAAGCTGAAGAACAGGAAGATCGTAGTTTAACCGTACTCGAGTTTACTCATGTGAGTCTTGTGGCATAGTTTTTCGATGAGAGAACTAGCTTGACACTTGCAACATTAATGCACAGAAATTACGTCCGAACGAGGGTGGATAACCTTAGCCGTAACGCTCAACGAAAGACGACATTCCTTTTTGCATCTCTCTCTTTCTCTCTCTCAAGCAAATTCCCTTTCATCTTGCCAAGGCTCGTTGCACATAATATATCCGCGGAAGATGCCTTCCAACTCTAACTCTTGTGATTTCTCGACCCTCACTCTTTTTCACGACTGCTGGCCTCTGGCTTGAATACGTCAGTAGGCCATTTCGATTATTTATTTACAACCAAAGCAAGGCAACGTCAAGCTTTCTCTCTGTCTCTCTCTTTCTCTCTCTGTCTCTCTTTTTCTCTCTCTCTCTCTCTCTTTCTCTCTGTTTGTCTCTCACTCTCTGTTTATATGTGTGTACGTTTGCGTGCACAGATTCAAGTTACTTCGTCGCATTATTTTTAATACGTATATACATACATTTGAGCACTTTTAGTCAGATTTTTTATTTAATAAATAAATAAATAAATAAATAAATAAATAAATAAATAAAAAAAGAACGAAAGAAAGAAAAAGAAAATGTTCCTTTTATTTATCTCTGCAGATACGTACATACGCATATAAATTATAACTTATTTCAGTTTCATATGATTATTTTAAAATCCCGCGAATTTAAGTGTATCCATCTGTTGATATTATTACCTTTTTTTTTTTTTCTTCTTTCTTTTTTCCTTCATTAATCGTTAAAAACAATCACGCGTGAAATTTCGCACGATTAAATGTTTAACGTTATTAAATATTACTTTTACAATATAATTACGTGAAATTAATATTAACTTGTCATTTAATATTGAATAATAATCCATCAAATTTTTTTTTTTGTTTTCGAGAGGCATTAACAATCCCCGGGATATGTTTCGCAGGCTCCTAATGGAGTTTGGACGAGTTAATCAGTCCGGCTTTTCTTCCTCAAGTTTCCGTAACATACAAGTGGCTTTTTACAAGGTTGACTTGTCAGGTCGACACTCAACCCCTATTAGTCGCCTTTTACGAGAAGCGAGGGATACTATGGGTATATTTTATCTCCGATTCACAGGGGCTTCGAATAATAATAATATTAATAATAATATTAATAATAATAATAATAATAATAATAATAATAATAATAATGATAATGAAGAAACATTTATAATTGGGATTTGAATGGGTTATAAAAAATTGATTTTTAATTAAAACAATATACTCGAATGAAATTTCGCAGATAGCGAATTTTCCTTTTGACAAATAGATCTTATTTTTTGTTTAAAATTAATACAAACAAAATTGCGTAGATGAAAATTTTTCAATATTTCTTTTCATATTTTTTTTTTCCTTTTTTTTTTTTTTTCTTTAAAGAGAAAAAAATAAAAAGAGATGAAAGAGTATCTTCGTTCTTGTCTTTATTTACCGTTTTCGAATGACGCGTTTTAAAACGCGCATGTAAACATTAGTCACACAAATATACCGAGAATATGTATTTATTCGTATATGCGGTTATAATATTGATATAATGTTATTTACTTACTATTCCAGAATCGGTGAATTTGCAGGGAAGTAGAGCACTACCACCGTTTTGTGCAAGGACATCGGTTACGAATTCTCCACGTCTGATAACATCTCTCGTATCATCCTCGTCACTTTTTTCATTTTGCGAAGAGCTCGTCGTTGTATTTAATGCATCTAAAAAAAGAAAGAAAAGAAAATAAAAAAAAAAAAAAATTAAATAAAATAAAAAGGAATACAAGTGTAATTCGATATGTAAAAATTGCATTCTTAGCTTTACGATCTTCAGTAAAGTCGTAAAATTTTTTTTAGCAAGTGAATCATTACAATTGCACACTTGTATTGAATATTATAATTCATCATAGATCCCCCTACGCCCCCCTTTTTTTTTCTTTTTTTTCTTTTTTTTCTTTTTTTAAATTAATATCTCATCGATCGTCACCAATACAAACAAATCGAGATTAAGATTAATCGAAAGATCAATGTTAAACGATTATGTTTTATTTATAGGTGTTTATTTGTATGATCTCTCGATACACAGTTCGGTAAAATTTTTTCAAACATAATAAATCCGCGGAAATGAAAATATTTTTAAAAATCTCAGTTATCACAAAACAATTAATCCACTTTGCTTTGATTATCTGTTTTCTGAATGTCGCGACATTCAAATGCAATACAAACGTATTAGATTTATCATCGAACGAGGATATTTTCGAAACGATGATGGAAAATGTACATTGGATTAATCTAGTGGATTATCCGTTTTTTTTTTTTTTTTTTTAACAAAATTTATTATTATTCGAATGAGTGAATGAATAATAACGAAATATCATTGGTTATAATTTATCATACTTCAATTGTAGGATGGAAAGATATTTCTTTTTTTTTTTTTCTTTTTTCTTTTTTTTTTTTAAATATCGCGTTCGTTTCAACGAAAATCCATTAAAAGTTTTTCAATTCGACGAACATTATTTGCTTTATGATAATTGCTAATACTTAATCAAAATTGTCTACTTTATGTAAATTCACAGCCACAATTTGCTTGAGAATTTGTGACATCGTTGAAATGAAGAAAATAAAGAAAGAAAGAAAAAACAAAAAAAAGAAAAAAAAGAAAAGAAAAGAAAGAAAAAACACGTAAACTCGTTTGAAGCTGTTACTCTCGAACGTCGTCGGAGGACAAAACGCGGAATGAAATGGTTTGTTAGAAAGAGAGAGAGAGAGAGAGAGAGAGAGAGAGAGAGAGAGAGAGGTGGGGGGGAGGCGTAGTTGCTCGCCGCTAAAACTTTAGTCCTGTGGTATATTGGCAAAGTTCGTCGGCTTGTTGTTTGGGTCGAAAACTTTTCGAGTCTGGATTTATTTGCTTTGTCTTGCAGTATTCGATGTTCTACTAGGATTCTCAACCACTTTCGAATCATTACCTTGTCTACAACATACATATGTATGTACGTACGTATATATGTATACGGCTTAAAATCCATACCATTTGGATTTACATATCTACTTGTTTTTCCTTTTTCGTTTCGGTTCTTCTTCTTTTTTTCTTTCTTTTTTTTTTTTTTTTTGTCGTTTTATTTTTGTCTTTTTTCTCCCAACAAAGATTCGTCCCAATATCTATCGACGTACTTCATTGAGATTAGAGATTGTTATTCGAAAGGATTTAGGTCGAACGATATATGTATGTAAGAAAGGTTAGACGATTTAATGGATCTACAGTGAAAGGGTGAGGCGTTTTGCCTTTTGGGATTTTGCTATTCCAAAGTCGTCGATCATCAACGTGAGCCCATTAATTATGCGCCTCGAGTTTCTTCGAAACTTCTCGGAGTTTCTCCAACGTAATTGAGAGTTTATACTAGGCTAAAGAGATATAACGAGGCCCTAGATACAAAGCAGTTTTATGTATGAATATAATATAATAATTATATATATATATTATATATATATATATATATATATATATATATCGTATGTATAATATGTATATGTATGTACGTACATGTGTACGATTGATGTATGCTTCGTCAAATATGTATTTTATTTCAATGTATTCATTGAACTGGTTATATCGACACCGTCAGGAAAAATTTAACTAGATTTTCTTTGTATTTGTATCTGTTCGTCTCTCTCTCTCTCTTTCTCTTTCTATGTGTACGTGTGTGTACGTGTGTGTGTGTGTGTGTGTCTATTGGCTGGAAGACAGTATAGACGGTTAGCTTCCCCTTTTGATATTTTATGCAAACGAACGATACGAGAGAATCCTTTTATGTTATTACTGTTCTCTCTCAAAGACTTTTTTATGGTGGATATCGAAAATGGAATCATCAAATCGTCCTTCCTTTGATAAAAGATTGCTGAGATTCGGATGATTCGTAGGAAGAAGAAAGAAGGAAAAAAGGAAGAAAGAAAAAAAAGAAAGAAGAAGAAGAAAAATAAAAAAAAGAAAAAAGATAAAAAACAAGTACGAGTCATTTCGAAATTTTACGCAAAACTGTCAACCGAGTGAACAGATTGTAAAATTGTAAAATTGTAAAATTGTAAAATTGTAAAATTGTAAAATTGTAAAATTGTAAAATTATGAAATTGTAACGTAGATGTTGAATCGAAAGTGAAATGAAAAAATTAATAAAACCAAAATAAATGAAAAAGAAGAAGAAGAAGATGAAGAAGAAGAAGAAGAAGAAAAAAGGATATAAAAAAAAAAATTTATAACAAGATTCTTCGAATAGAACGATGATTAATTAATGTGACGGATGATGTTAAGAATTGGAACGTCGGTGATTACTCGAAGTTTATTCGTTTAAATCATGCAAACGAAAGAAGTGAAAGAAATTCTCGTACAGGATCGACCAGGTCAACCAAGGATATTTCGTCAGAATTTCAGATTTGATCCTTTTCGTTTGCGGTGCCTTTTACGTTAACTCGTTTCTGTAAATCATCGTGTTTGATGGTAACGCTAGGGATCTGCCATCTTGCTTGACGAGACTTCTTAAATTGCATTAGCTATTAAAGCAAGTACCTTAAAATTCTAGTTCTCTTAAGATCACCACTCTCTCTCTCTCTCTCTCTCTCTCTCTCTCTCTCTCTCTCTCTCTGTCTCTGTTTCTCTGTCTCTCTATTACTCTCTCTCTCTGTCTCTGTCTCTGTCTCTCTCTATCTCTCCTTGAATCATAGCTATGCCTAACTTGTTGAGGTCGCATTTTCTGTCTCTCTCCTATCTCACTCTCTCTCTCTTTCTCTATTTCTCTGTCTCTATCTGTCATTCTCTCTCTCTCTCTCTCTCTCTCTCTCACTCTCTCTCTTTCTCTATTTCTCTGTCTCTATCTGTCATTCTCTCTCTCTTAGACTGGTTAATTCAGATTCCTCTAGTCAGAGAAACGTTATCTCTCGATGCCGTTGGTAGAACTAGGAGAGAGGGGATGGAATTAACTCGGACTACCAACAGATTGTACGCGCTATTTGGCTAAGACCCTTTCTAGACCATTTCGAGACCCTAAGATGGAATCTTTCGCGAATTTGCTCTTAATTAAATCCTTTATAGATCACGCCTTCAAATCTCTTATGTATATATATATTTATATATATATATATATATATATATATATATATATATATATATGATTATTTTTCTTTTCTTTTTCATTTTCTTCTTTTTTCATCATTTTATTATCCTAAGAAATTTATATATATATATATATATATATATATATCATATATTTATGGAGATTTTAATTAAATATATTTATTTGAAGATATATATATATTTTTCTTTCTTTCTTTCTTCCTTTCTTTCGTTTTTTTCTCTCTCTTTTTTTTTTTCTTTTAATTTAAAAAGTCCCCATCCGTAAAATTAAATATGTATATCTGTATCGAAATATTGTATTTTATTGTCTAGAAATAAATAATATAATGTATAAAAAATATATTCATTATTTATTAATAAATATATATATATATATATATATATATATATATATATATTTAAATAAAGAAATCGAAATAAAAAAAAAAGAAAAAAGAAAAAAAGAAAACAAAAATAAATTGAAATAAATATATGAATATTCGTTTTATTTCTATTAAATCATAATAACTCTTTCTTAATAAAATGAAATTCTTAAGAGAAAACTTGCTCTAGGTTCTATTATTCGATAGTTGATTCGCTCTATCTCCTCGATTTCGAAGTCGATTAGAATGAAATTGGAAGCGAACAAGTCTCCAGATGCTTCCTTCCATCGCGGAAACTTCGCTAGCGTTTGGACGGTGCCATTACTGTGGAAACGAGTGTCGCGAATCACCTTAATTATCTCTTAACTCATTCCCCATAGGTTGTACGTTCTGCACGATTAAGTAAAACTAATATCTCTCTTGAGCATCTCTTTTAATCGCTCGTAAACCAACACAAGATACTTAAGAATATTTCATTCGTAACATTTTAAAATTGATTTTTCACATTAAAAATTTAATATGCAATAACGATTATTATTATTCCAATATCATAAAAGAAAAGACAAAGAGAGAGAGAAAGAGAGAGAGAGAGAGAGAGAGAGAGAGAGAAACATGTCTTCCTTCTTATCGATCGAATATTAATCTTTGAAAATTATTTTTTATCCATCTTAGCTCGTATATTTAACAACAATGAGTATATAAATTATATATATATATATTTTTTTTTTTCTTTATCAATCGACTATCTTTACTTTAAACAGATATACCTATTCATTTTATTTTATCTTGAGTATTCATATAAAAACACGTAACGAATATATTTATTCTTGTATCGATTGAAAATTACGAGATCGTTACGTCTATTAATTTTTTTCTTTTTCACCGTTTTGCTTTCCATTTAACAAAACCCGATTACGAAAATTATTTCCCGAAGGACTAAAGCGATAATAACAGGATGAAAATAATTTCACTTAGGATTAAATTCGATAATGAGTTGAAATTATATCCGAAGGACTAAATCGATAATAACCAGTCGAAATTATTTTGCGAATGATTATACGAATATAACGAGTCGAAATAATTTCACGTATGGATTACAACGATCGTCAAACTCGATCTTACCCCTCCCTTTTTTTTTTCTCTTTTTTTGTTTTTTTTTTTTTTATACATCTTCTCGGTCATTTCGTCGATGGAATTGATCTATGATATCGTGGGATAAGATTATTGAGAATCGT